AGCGGGGAGCTCTGCGCCGGACTCGCCTCCGCTCGGGACCCTCCCACCGCCCGGCGCGGCCCGGCCGGGACGGGGTCCACACACAGCCCTCTAGCCTGAGGGGGATATGTCCACACACAGCCCTCTAGCCTGAGGGGGATATGGCCACACACAGCCCTCTAGCCTGGCAGGGTGTCTCCACACAGCCCTCCAGCCTGAGGGGGATATGTCCACACACAGCCCTCTAGCCTGAGGGGGGTATGGCCGCACACAGCCCTCTAGCCTGGCAGGGTGTCTCCACACACAGCCCTGTAGCCTGGGGCGGGGGGGATGTGTCCAGTCCACACACATCCTTGTACCCTGGAGGGGGGGCGGGGTAGACATCACTGAGCTAAGCAGCCTCTTGGGGAGTTATATCAGGAGAGATTCCTGCTCCCCCCTGACAAGCCGGCTGAAGGCAGGGTCGATCTGCACATTATAAAACCAACCAGATGCTCTATTGGCAGGCTGAAGGTGGGGCTGCATACCAGGGGAGGCAGGAGGCCCTCCTGATTGCGAGAGAGTGCTCCCAGAGCTTGCTGAGCTCAGCAGTGCTCAGCCGGGTGCCAGAAGATGCTTTTAAGGATGCTGCACAATATTAGCACTTTTTCTGCAGTGCCGTTCACAAGGTAAACCCTGATTTCCAACAGGGCTCCAGAGCATCTAGAAATGTTCTGCGCCGGCAGGGTCTTCCTGAGGCCTTTGCAACAGAAACATTGCTCCAGTGTGGCTCCCTAGTCCTGAAAGCAAGTGGGAGCTCAGAGTGGGTATGTCCCAAAGGGAGCCCTGAGTCTAAAGAGGTTGAAGGCCACTGATTGAAAACAAATGCCCCTGTTTCTCTACTAGCAATAGTTGCAAGGGTGAAAGAAGATGAAGAATTTGAAAATCAACCAATGCAACCAGTCCCCTTCAAGCTTTATTAGCCCAAAGATCTGGGACTAGCAGCCACCACCTTCAGTGAATGTGGCTGTTCTTGCTTTCAGCAGACAGGAAAACATAGATGACATCTCTTAGATCAATACTATCCACAGTCAGGACTTCAACCCCCATATACAGCTGTCCCTTGCTTTATGATGTAGATGCATTCATGGAAAATGGTGCATAACTCAAATTTGCATAAAGGGACCCCACTTTACAATGTAACAAATAGGAATAGGTTCCAAGACCTCAACTGTACTGACCCCCAGACCCATTTCTATCAGGGCAGCTGCAGCTTCAGAAGCACGGGCACCAGCTGCCCTGAGTGGCGGCCATGGGCACTGCTGTTGGGCAGCTTCATGGCTCTCAGCTGACTGCAGACTTCCACTACACCGATCACATAAGAATGTATTTGCTTCACATATAATGAATTTTTGGTATGAAAAGGGTCATTGCATAAGAGTGAATTCGTACATACAGAACCTGCATAAAGCAAGGGAAACCTGTAAAAGCAAAAACTGCCAGCTGTTTGAGAATGAGCCACTACACAACACAAATTATGTCTTCACATGCTTGAAAAACTTTGTTCTTCCCTGGAATCAGATATGGGCAACGCTAACATACACCTGAATGTAAAGAAAGCAAAGAAAAAAGGATAAAAGCTTACTTTTTTGCCCAGAAACTCAGATGGGTTTTGAGCAAGTTCAACATTTTAGCTGCCAAGAACACTTATGGTGGCATTAGGGTGATGGTAAAGCTGTGAGGGTCCAAGAACTCTGGAAGAGGCAAGGATTTCTTAAGGTGATGGCTTTTATTAGACCAGCTGGGCTGGAATTAGGCAGGCTTTTGAATGCAAAACATGCTTCATCTTATGTCAGAGGATGGCACTTCTTCTAATGCTTTGCATCTTTGATACTAGTGTAGCACACCCAAAATGTACAAGTCATTTTGTGCTGTAAAGCATTTCATGCCACTGTGCATCTTGTTCAGCTATAAAGCACGATCATGTTTTCTGTGTGATTGTTGTATATTGTGCCTCCTCTAGGACTGAAGAGGACCACCTCCCATCCCCACCCCACCACCCCAGACCATTGCCTTAAGATTTCTCAGCTGAAGCTATAAAACCAGTTTAGTGACTCTGGCCAAATCCTGGAGTGGTGACCCCCCTTGAATTGATTGGTCTGCATTAGCAGTGTGTGAAAGAGGCTGCTTCTCGACTGGGGCCCTGTGACGAGGTCAGAAAAATGATGTAAGGTTCAGGCCACCTGGGCTGGTGGGCTCTCTCTCTCAGCTCATTGGAGCTATATCAGCTCACTACCCCGACCAAAGTCATGCAATTAAAATGGCATTGTGTAGTGGAGGGTTGCACCCTTGTCTGCTTGCAGACAGGACTCCCTACAAGAGCCTCATAGTTAGCTTCCCACTGGCCAGCTTCCAGTGGGAGGATCTTGGCTACACGCCGACTTTATGGAAATGGGTGACTCCTTAGCTTGCTCCTGCGGCCATACGGCCAAGGGCAAGCCAAACTCAGGGGCATCTGAACCCCAAGCTTCTGGGCTTGGGCCTGCAAGTAGGATGCCTGCCAAAGGATTTGGAAGCATCTGAAGCCCCAGATGGGGGTGGAGAGTGTTTGCTGGTAGTAGGGCCACATTTGGTTCTTGAATGACTCACGGATTTGGAATTGATTTGGCTGATTTGACTTGAAGCATGAAAAATTTTTCTTAAAAAAAAAAAAACAAACTCACCGAAGAGCCCTTCTCATCTCAGAGGGAACCGGTGCCCCCAGCGGATGGTGACAGCGAGGGAGATGACGCACCCAAATTCCCAGGGACTAACCTCTTTTGGGTCAAGACTCTCCCACTCTCGGACTGCCGAGCCTGGGTTCGAAGTCTCCCCAATAGGGGTAGGGGTGATACAGGGTATACTTTGAACCAGGACAGTGTTTTTGTTTTACTTGCTGTGTTCTGGTGTTTGTCTCTGTAATAAATCACGGGGTTTGTGTTCCTACTGCTTGTGAGGGAAGGGTTGCTGGTTTTATTGGACACCCTAGTGATTCATTTAGTCCCAGGTACATTGAGCAGGGGCTTGAGCCAAGGTAAAATATATTCAGTACCCCCAAAACTGAACCCGGCCCTTGCTGCTGCTGACGGGTGCTCAGCAGAAGGGTTATGCTTCATATGAAAACTCAGACAAATTATGAGGTTCCTCATTTTTTTCCCCAAAAAGACTGTATAGCAGCATCCAAAATGTAGTAGAAAACGCTGACTTGGTTCTTTCCAGGAGTAGTTAAGGGCTGCATCGGCTCTTAAGCAAACCTCTTCTTGCTTTGTGGTTGTTTTTCTCGTGGGAAATTAACTCCCATGTTCAGGTCATTGGTCAGCTCCCTCCGACCAGCCCAGGACACTTGTAAATCCATTATCATTAGCTTGTTTACATGAAAAACCCTTCAAAGCTTTTAGAGGCCTAGTTTATTCAATACACACTTTACCTGAGAGGTTGACTTCATGAAGTAACTCATGCACAACCACAGTATGCAAGAATCGATAGCTGCAGATGTTGAGAATTGAGGAGTTTAGCACTGACCCCTGCAGATTTTGGTTCCTGTAGGTTCCCTTAGGTTTGACTTGAGACTGGAACAAAAGTGTCACCGACTTTCAAAGCTTTGTGCTGTGATACACAGGTTGCATCAAGCTGGCTTTTCCATTTTGTTTCACTGAAGGGCTTTGCCCATAGATTAGTCGCAGCTTGGCACATCACATCCCATCCCATCGTTTTGAAATAGCTGCAAAAGAAGCATCAGTGCTTTGCAACCTGTTAAAAACCACCACGGCACCAGTGCAAGAATTTGAGGTATCACTGAACAGGATTTGAATGACGTGTGCTGCATGGGACGCAAAACCTTCTCTTGTTAAGGTCCCCAAATCTCTTCTGAACTCTCCCGTGTTTGCCTTTCATATGTACCCCATTGTTATAGTTCGGACCAGTACAATCACTGAGATTTTAATTTCTTTTAACTATTTGAGGAGATACATGCCAGCACATACATCCCTGAAACATGGAAGATGCAAAATGTTAGCGGATTTTGGATTATAAACTTCATCACTGAACAACAAGAACGATTTATACACCTCCCTGCCTGCCATCTGACACCATCAGGGAAGAAATCCTGCTTGATCTAAACAACAAAGAGCAAGCTCACGAAGAGACTCTTGTGGACCCAGAGGGACAGTTGTCCAACTTCTGCTTTCTCTGCCCAAAAATGAAGTTTATTTCCTACATGTGGGGACCTTTGACTATCCTGAGCTTTCCCTGAGCCTGATGAAGAGCGCATGAGCCTGAAAGCTTGCAGAAAAAAGACGTATTTTTTGCAATTTCTCAGTTGGTCTAAAACAAGGTATCATTTTGGAATCAAGAGTTCTAGATTTTTGCATTTCTTTTTGTCTCAGACCAACACGGCTACCACGTATATCCCTGAAGCACTAGGAGAATCATTCATGTAAAAAAAATCAGTGAAATATTCCTTGATAAA